CCTTCCTTCCCTTTTTCCTTCCTTCCCTCCCTCCCCCCTCCCTTCCTTTCCTCTTCTCTTTCCCCCCCTCCTCATTCCAGGTGGTATAAAGATGGGAACCTCCTCACCGATCCAAACAAACACCAGAGCTTCAGTGAGCCACGAAGTGGCGTGATTGTCCTGGTTATCAAAAATGCCTGTGAGGATGACGAAGGTCTCTATGAGTGCGAGGTGAGTTTCTCTGTCTCTTTTTTTCTTACGTTGTTATGAGACAGGAACTTCTCCATAAAATATCTGGGCCAAAGACCCACCGCTCATCTGCTGGGCAAATCCGGCTGTTCTGTTAAGACATCCTGAGCAGGGATGGCATCCGGCCGGTATAACTCCCGGTTGTGTTGCTCTGCATCGTGTGCGAGTCGCGCGAGTCGCGCGAGTGCAATTTACGACCTGCTGAGCTGCCCGGACAGCTGAACAGCGCTGCGTGCAAGTACGCAGCGGTTGAAGTAGCACTTTTTTTCCTGCTTTTTCAACCGCAGCTGTGTCATGCAAAGCAGCTGCGGTTGAAAACACAGGAAATAAAGGTCAGGTAAGAGCCCAGGCAGGCGGGTAGGCCAAAACAGCAGCAGACATAGAACCGGTTCTATGCCTGCTTTCTGTTTGCTGCTTTTCATAGCAACCAGTTCTACAGAAGTGGACAGAACCAGTAGAATCCCACCCCTGATCCTGAGTTGTCTAAGTCCAACTTACACAAACAAGTGTTGGAAGGAAAATCCTTTTGGCTCAGTTCCAAGCTGGGAAAAAGACACTGGAATAAAATGGAGGCTGGAGGCCGATTGGAAGGAAAGGACCATTGATTGGTGAACAGAACCACATAGACAGCGTGCAGTTCTGGGTCAGCTGAACAACTGGCTTTTCTTGAACATGGACTTTTATACAGTTTTTATAGCATTTTGTAATCTTTTTCTTTTTCCCCCTCTTTCCATTGTAAATCTTTACAGGGCAGATAAAACATTATTTTATACAGCATAATTCTAATTTATCCCATTTCCATATGGACACATAAATATCTTTTAACAAATTTCTCATTATTCCTCTTTACTCTTATTCAGTTACATTTCTTTTCTATATTTACCTATTTTATAGTCATCATATTTATATTTCCCTCCGACTTGTTTACAATTATTCTCATCTGACATTCCTCCAAGGTTTTATTAATTCTCAATCAAACATAAACACACAAAACACAAAAACATAAAACTTCTTTTTAGAAAGTGGCTTGGCCCCAGATTTACCTCTCTTTATACAGACTTCAATTAAATTCATGCTCATCTTATATACCATTACCTATCTTATTTACCATTCTATATCTTCTATATAACTTCTCCCCGCTTTTCACTCTTCTTAATTCTATTTTATTTATTTCATCTTACTTTAAATCATTATACTTGTATCTTTTGTCCATTCTTTTCCAATTATCCATTTATCTCATTCTCTATAATAATAATAAAAAAAAGATTTCTTCTGGAATCACTAATCGAAGTATGATGCCTTTCTATCGTTCCCCTAAATTGACATTTAAAATAACACCTAGATCCCAGTCTGATTCTGCTTAGTGCATTCTACCTACTAAATTTTAAGAAAAAGAGAGGCAGCATTTTGTAACCTGGAAGCTTGCTTTGTTTGTTTTTATTATTTGATCGGTTTTACTTGTTTCACAAAGGCTCGTGAGGGGTTTAATTATTACTTCCTTGATCTTAATCCTGTAAGGCATCTGTAATTGATTTTATCCTCTTATCTATTGCCTCTGACCTGCCTTTCATAATCGACCAATATTGTCTCCACAATTCTTAAGGAGTGTCCTCCCTATCTCTAATCTTAATTGTGAAAGATGTTTGTGAATAAATTGACCCAGTCTTTCTGAATAGATTACCAAATCCGCATTTCTAAAAGCTGGTCTCCTCAGTTTCTGCTTGGGGAAAGGAGACTGAGGCATGTTTCTCCATTTCTCCCTTTTGGGGAATATAATATTCTTTTAATATTCCCCCAAATATTTCATTCTTCTAGGAGGGTGGGTGGGTGCTGACTTTCTTCACAAGCTAACAAAAACCAACCAAATAAGGAATCACCAAGAACATTCCCATCAACACCGACAGGGTAAACACTGATGATGTTACTTAGTTGGGTCATGAAACGCCAAGAAAACCACCAAGCTGAATGGATTTTTTTTCAGTGCCTTTAGAACTTTGAAAGATCACTAAACAAACTGTTGTAAGTCGAGGACTACCTGTAACTGGTGCAAGCCAGTTAAAATGAGGTACAACTTAGAAGTAAAGATAAATTAATCAATAATTAACTAATGGAATAGATTTCCTCTTGCAATTGTGGGTGCTCCATCACTGGAGGTTTTCAAAAATAGACTGGACTACCATTTGACCGGGATAGCAGTAGCACTTAGACTTATATATCACTTCACCGTGCTTTATAGCCCTCTCTAAGAGGTTGACAGATTCAGCGTCTTGCCCCCAAGGATCTGGGTCCTCATTTTACTGACCTTGGAAGGACAGAAGACTGAGTCAACCTTGAGCCGGGTGATATTCGAACTCTCAAATTGCAGGCGGTTCACAATCAGCAGAATTAATTGCAGTGCTGCATTCTAACCACTCCGCCACCATGGCTCATACGGTATAAGTTCTCCTGCTTTGAACCGGGTTTGGACTAGAAGACCTCTGAGGTCCCTTCTGGAGCTATGATTCTATGTCCTACACAAAGTGATTCCTTATACAGGTAGTCCTCAACTTACAACCATTCATTTACTGACTGTTCAAAGTTACAAGGGCACTGAAAAAAGTAACGTATGGCTATTTTTCACACCATTGTAGCATCCCCAGAGATATGTGGTCAAAATTCAGGCGCATGGCAACTAACTCATTTATGCGGTGTCCCGGGGCCATGTGATCCCCTTTTGATAAACCAAGTCAATGGGAAAGCCAGATTCACTTAAGAACCAGGTCACTAACTGAACAAATGCAGGGATTCACCTAACAACTGTGGCAAGCAAGGTCATCAAATGGGGCAAAACTCATTTGACAAATGTCTCAATCACACAAATGTTGGGCTCGATTGTGGTTGTAAGTCGAGGACTTTCTGTATAGATTTGAGAAGAAGTTGGTTTTTCTTTGTCATCTGAAATCCACACACGCTCTAACTGGCGTTGTCAACTTGTCTTCAGTTAATAAACAGGTTGGGGACCGCGAAGGGAGGCGCTCACCTTTACCGTCAAACTGCAACAGCCTTGGCTCCGGAGAAGAGACCCGAGCAAGCAATCACAATAGAAGGTAGGGCCTTTTGATCTGCTCTCTCACAAGGGGCTTAATTCAGGGTGGCTAATGGTGGCCAATTAAGGACCGAATGGCTGCATCTCTCAGAAGATGTGTCATTCCTGTTTGATGTTGGGACTGGGTTAGCGATTGTGTTTGCGTTGTTGTTGTTTTGTGGTGGAAGAGATCCAGGTCTCTTCCTGCTCAGGCAGAGGTTTGGACTAGAAAATCTCCAAGATCCTCTTATTCTATGTTCTATCTAGACTGATTGCAGGTCACCTCAGGGTGGTGCATCCACAGAAAAATCACCTAGTAAGACTACGCAAGTTGAAAAGAACACTATCAGTTGTTCAGCACCCACAACAGTGGTGTGATCCAGATGAAGAACTTCTTATAATTATTCAAATTTTATTTTATGATCCCACACAAATCTGCTCTCCTAGGTTAGCAGTAACTAAGGTTCTTCTTCTGTTCAGATCTTAAATTGGATGAAATAGAATTTGTATATACAATATTTTTTATTTATATCCTGCCTTTATTATTTTTACAAATAATACTTTCTTCCTCAACAACAACCCTGTGAGGTGGGTTGAGTTGAGAGAGAGAGAGAGAGAGAGAGAGAGGGACTGAGCCAAGTTACTCAGCCGGACCAAGAAGAAGGGCCTTCTCCATGGTGGCTTCTTCCCTGTTACTTGAAGAACCATCTTTTCCCAGTTACGTGCACCTGAACCCCTGGAGTGGAGAGCTGGAGATGCTATGGGCTCCCTCTCTTGAGGAGGTCCATTTGGTGGGTCCCAGAAGAAGGGCCTTCTCCATGGTGGCTCCATCCCTGTTATTTGAAAGACTGTCTTTTCCCAATTACATTTCACTCACCCCACTGGAGCAATGAGGAAGGGGATATTACTGGTTCCTTATCTTAAGAGGATCCATTTGGTAGGAGCCAGAAGAAGGTTAGCAAAAGCTAAGGTTCTTCTTCTGTTCAGATCTTAAATTGGATGAAATAGAATTTGTATGGTGACTTCCTCCCATCTTCCTCCCATCTTCTCCCAGTCATATCCATCCAATCTACCAGAGCAGGGAGGAAGGAGGTCCGTTTGGTGGGACCCAGGAGAAGGGCCATCTCTGTCATGGCTCCCTCACGGTTATTTGAGGAACCGTCTTTTCCCGGTCATATCCACCCAACCCACCAGAACAGGGAGATGTCCATATGGTAGGACCTGAGGGAGGTCCATATGGTAGGACCTTCTCAATGGTGGCTCCCTCTCTAGGGAACATCATCCATGTGAAGATAGATACCAATAGATACAGATGATAACATCTACCAAGTCTTCTACTGAATTGAGAGTATCTTTTTTTTTAGTGATTGTGAAATGCAGGTTGTATGACCTACCACACACAGTCTAATCATGCAGTGGACACAGTAGGTTCTTGAGTTTCTAGTATTACTAATTCGGGGCGGGGGTGGTTAGGATTTGCTTCTGCGACAAATGTGGAATTAAATTATTTGCGAAGGGTAAAGTATTCTTGATATTGTGAAATTGGGTGTTTGCAAAGGGTGGAGGGGACACCTGAACTGTGATATTGTCATGTACTTGACTTACGCATGTACAGCAGAGGTTACGAAACAATGGCATCACAACGTGGCATCATTTGGACATTTTCAAGGTTTGTGTTGGCTGCCACTAGTAGGTGATTCACAATTATCCTTGGCAATGAGGAAGCGTGGTTTAAAAATAATTCCTTTCTTTTCAGCTGACAGTTTGTTAGAGGTCTCACACTGATATTTATTTGCACCCCGCTATTATTCCTTTTATAAATAAGGCAGAGGACATATCTGATACATTTTCCTTCTCCGATTTCCCCAAACAACCCTGTGAGCTAGATTGGGCTGGAAAAGAACCTTTCATACCTAACACAGAACTAGAGCTCACCGTCTCCTAGTAAATGGTTGAAAGTCATCCAGCCTGCTTTCTTGGCTAAGGCGGGTCTAGAACTCACCATCTTCTGGTGAGTGGCCCCAAATCCCCCATCTGGCTGTCCTGGTTCATGTGGAACTAGGAAACGGTTCCTGGGTGATTGATCCAAAACCACTTAGCAGGCTTTCATGCCTAAGGAGGAATTAGAACTCACAATCTTCTGCTTTCTATCTGGTGATCACTAGACCAACCTGACTATTTCAGATAAAATAATTCATTGTATTTAGGAAATGAATCTTTTTAACTGAGTCTGTTTTTGTAGTTTATGCTTGAACCGGACATTCGTCTGAAATCTTATAGGGTTTTCCTCTTGGGTTTGGAGGTCCCTTCCAACTCTGATCCTGTTATTTTATGTGGCAAGTCTGATTCCTGAAAACGTTATTTTTTTTCACTTGCAGTGACTAAACTGGAAATTTAAATTTATTTATTTATCTATATATACAGTATAAAAGTGAAATACCACTCAAGCATCATCACAAAATCTCCAGAACTATAAAGCTTACAAACCTGAAATCTGGCACGTATGTTCCTCTTGGCTTCTAGGGGCTCACTAAGGAAGGATTTTTCAAAGTGACCATCAGAGCATTCGTATTTCCTAAATTATTCTTAACACGCTCTGATGCTAAGGAGTTCTACTCCCCCTCCCCACCTGAAAAGAAATCTCTTCCAAATGCAAAACAGAGGAGATGAGTTTCAGTTTCAGAGCACCAAGCAGCTTTAGTACAGAACAGTTGAGCTAAGCCACGCCCAGGCTCCTTGCTGTCTCCTCACTCACACAGAAAATACTGCTTCAAGTTTCCATGTTTCAGTTTCCAAACAGTCCTCAATTCTCTCACACACTGACAGGATGCTAGCCGGATGAATACAATGGATGCTGGTAGGCAGTGGCGCATTTTTTTCCCCTTATTTTCCTCCCCAAAACTAACCGGATCACATAGTTTCATAGCAAAGCACGGGTATAGAGCTAGTATATTATACAAATTATAATTTAATTTTAATTTAAAATACAGTTCCTTGTAAATTTCTTATCCGTGTTTTAGAAAGATGCCTGCGTTCTTCTAATAATACTCTGTGATGGAATTAATTGAAAATTTCTTTTAAAAGTGACCTGTGGTTTTGTAAATTAAGAGATCAATAAATATTGGTGTAATTTGGATGCCTGTACCATTGAAATGGCATTTTGCTTTTGAAGGGGAAATGGACAGGAAAGATAATAAAGCCAGTTTGAATACCATCTTCTCTGCTTATTGAAGAATTTAATTTTGTTTTGTTGCGTCTCATCGGCCTATATTATTTGAATTTTGCTAGCCTATCATATTAATTGCTAAAGGTTGGAGCAATCAAACTCCAGAGCTTTTAACCTGCTTTGCAACGCTCAGTGAGGTTAAAATATCAGAAGCATCGTTTCTTTTTTTGAAAGGGTTCTAAAAATGTAAAAAATGGCTAGCACAATGCTATTTTTTTTTGGTTATAATTCGGATTGAGTAAATCCCTAGATTCTCTGTTACAAGGCCACATAAACCTTTTACTTTTTTAAGAAAGCAAATGAGGTTAAAAAATTGCAGCGTGATAAAGTGAATTTTATTCCTCCTAGGACATGTGGAACACAGTTTTATTAAAGCAAGTCTTACAAACTGGTTTATTTTAATGCACTTAAGAAATTCATAGAGAAGGAATGAAAATGCTCAGATTTCTTGCAATTCTGGAGCTGATTTGTTAAATGAAAAAGTTTGCTGAGCTTTGTCTATTTGTGTCAGAAGCCTCACAATTAAAATAAGACATACTATGTTTATATGACATAAAATTTAAAATATAAGATTAAAATACAGGCAGTCTTTGACTTATGACCACAATTGAGCCCATAATTTCTGTTGCTCAGGGAGACGTTAAGTGAGTTTTGCCCCATTTTACGATCTTGCTTGCCACAGTTGTTAAGTGGATCACTGCTAATGTTAAGTGATTAACATAGCTGTTAAGTGAATCTGGCTTCCCCATTGACTTTGCTTCTCAAAAGGTCACAAACGGGGATCACATGACCCTGGGGCACTGCAACCGTCATAAATATGAGACAGTTGCCAAGAATCTGAATTTTGATCAGGTGGCTTTGGAAGGGCTAGAAGAGTCATAAATGTGACAAATGATTATAAGTCTGTAAACATTATTATAATATATTATAATAATATATTATTATATTTATAATATATTATTAGAAGTGTTGTAAACATTGATTACAAGCTCTGTAAAGGACCTTGGAATACTCATCTCCATTGATCTAAGTGCTAGAGCCCACTGTAACTACATAGCCAAAAAGGCATTAAGAGTTGTTAACCTAATCCTACGTAGCGTTTTCTCTGGTAATATCACAGTAGTAACTAGAGCATACAAAACATTTGCTAGACCTATACTCGAATACAGCTCATCAGTTTGGAACCCACATTACGTATCTGATATTAGCATAGTTGAGAAAGTCCAGAAATATTTCACAAGAAGAGTTCTCCACTCCTCTACTCGTTGCAGAATACCTTATGCCACCAGACTCGAAATTCTAGACCTAGAAAACCTTGAATTACGCCGTCTTCGGTCTGATTTAAGCATGGTATATAAAATCATACATTGCAATGTCCTACCTGTCAATGAATACTTCAGCTTCAACCATAACAACACAAGAGCACACAACAGATACAAACTCAAGGTTAATCGCACCAAACTTGATTGCAGGAAATACGACTTCAGCCACAGAGTGGTCAATGTCTGGAATACTCTACCCGACTCTGTGGTTTCTTCCCCAAACCCCAAAAACTTTAACCTAGATTGTCTACTATTGACCTCACCCCTTTCCTAAGAGGTCTGTAGGGGACGTGCATAAGCACACCAATGTGCCTACCGTCCCTGTCCTATTGTTTCTTTTATTTTTCTTATATGTACCCATTTCATGTATTCATAACTATGTACATATATACCTATTACCTTGTAAGCGATTGACAAATAAAATAAATAAAAGTCACTTTTTCAGTGCCATTGTAACTTTGAGTGGTCGTTAAATAAACTGTTCTAAGTTAAGGACTATCTGTATATACAAATTAAATAGATCTTGCTCCCAAAATGTAGGAAATCAAAGCTTTTTTTTTTTTGAGTTGATGGTTATACAACGTTTGATTCCTTTCAAACATTGTATTTTTCCCATGATATGTTATTTTTGCTCACAAATGTGAGATCTGGCAGATTGCAAGTCCAGGGAAACCCCATGTCATATAGGTAGCCCTCGACTTACAACCATTCGTTTAGTGACCATCCCAAGTTACAATGGCACTGAAGAAAGTGACTTACAACCAGCCCTCGTTCTTATGACTGTCATAACATCTTCACAGTCATGTGATCAAAATTTGGGCATTTGACAACTGGCATGTACTTACGATGGTTGCAGTGTCCTGGGGACATCTGATCCCCTTCTGCGACCTTCTGAGAAGCAAAGTCAGTGGAGGAGCGAGATTCATTTAACAACTACGTGATTCGCTTAACAACCATGGAAATTCACTTCACAACTGGAGCAAAAATAAAGATAATAAAATTGGGTCATATTCATGTAACAACTGCCTCACTTAGAGAAGAATACTCTAGTCTCAACTGTGGTCGTAAGTCGAGGGCTACCTGTATTTAAGAATGAGTGGAACGTTACTGAAAAAAATAATCATGAAAAAAATAATCAGGTCCTATTCAGCATAATAATCCACTAAATCCTGGTGTTTGGCTTTGCTTAGTTTCTGTTTCGGAAACATACACTATACACTAAGTATAATAAAACTAAGATAGAGTTTATCAGTGGCCAGTTTCAACCCTTATAAAAATTTGGAATATTTTATTCAACCTGTTTTGCTTTCATCTAAAATAATACCAGGACTATTGAGATTTTCTTACAGGTTTTACAGTGTTTCCTAAAACCCAGCATCCTTGTTAAGGAGTTTAAAAAGTCAAGGTGTTATCCTTGATAGGGCAATCAAAGCATTTTTATTTATTTTGCATTTGTAAAAAGGAACAGGGTTTCAGTGAGGTGGTCATGACCAATAAATTGATTCTCCCCCGTCCCGCCACACCCCACAGAGATATCCCAGTTTTTAAGTGCCTTTCTGGCCCAAACAGGAGAATTTGAATGTATCCTATCGAACATGATTTAAACGGAGACATTATTTGCATACAGGTAGTCCTCAGCTTATCATTTAACAGTCCATTTAGTGACCATTCAAAGTTACAGAGGCACTGAAAAAAAGTTATGTAAGAGCGTTTTTCACATTAAGACCATTGCAGCAATCCCCATGATCATGTGATCAAATTCGGACGCTTGGCAACTAACTCATATTTATGACAGTTGCAGTGTCCAGGGGTGTGTGTGTGTGTCATGTGATTCCACTTTGGTGATCTTGTGACGAACAAAGTCAATGGGGAAGCCAGATTCATTTAACAACCATGTGGGTATCTTAACCACTGCAGTGATTCCCTTAATAATTGTGGGAAGAAAGGTCATAACGAAAGGCAAAATCCATGGAGGAACTGTTTCGCTTAAACAACAGAAATGTTGGGCTCAATTGTGGTTGTAAGTTGAGGATTACCTGTATTTGTATATTCAACTTGGCCTTTATTTTCCTGCTATCTATCCTGCTTTTTTTAAAAAAAACAAAACAACACACACTTTTTTCTGCCTGTAAAGTTAGCAGAGTTAACTTTAGTGGGTTCACTTGAGCCTCTCAGTTTCCAGGTTCTTCGAGCTACACACAGTTCATTTAGTGATCATTTGAAGTTATGATGGCACTGAAAAAAGAGACTTATGAGCGTTTTCATAATTATGACCATTGCAGCAACTGGCTCATAGTTATTACAGTTGCAATTTCCCAGAGTCACGTGATCCCCTTTTGCAAACTTCTGATCAGCAATGGGGAATGGGGAAGCGAGGTTCACTTAACGACCATGTTATTAACTCATCACCTGCAGTGATTCTGGCAAGAAACATTGTAAAATTGTCACTTAGCAAATGTTTCATTTAGCAAGAGAAGTATTGAGCCCAATTTTGGTTGTAAATTGAGGACTACCTGTTACCCCCATTTTGAAAGGTATTATAGCGTGCTGTCTTCTTTTTTCAGAAAAATAATTCTAGCAGTTGTTAAAATCGTTGCTTTGGCTTTACTGCAAAGACATGGAAAAGACCTTGATAGAAAGTCCTCAATTAATATACTAATGGCATGTTTAAAAGACACACAACGCAACGCCTTTTTTCACAATGGCAAATGTCTGAATGGAAATGCTTTTGAAGCAGATGAAAATCTAATGTGGAAAGCAACTGGGACATAATGACAGGTAGTCCTCGACTTACAGCTGTGCATTTAGCAACAGGTCCTCGTACTAATGACCATTGCAGCCTCCTCGCAATCACGTGGTCCAAATTTGGCACTTGGCAACCCGATCACAATTTGCAAAATCAATGGGAAAAGCCGGATTTGCTTAACAATTGCGGTGATTCACTTAGCAACTGTGGCAAAAAAATGTTGTAAAATCAGGTGTGATTTGTTTAACAACCGCCTAATTCAGCAAACAAAATCATGGGTTGTAAGTCGAGGACTACCGGAATGCCAAATCAACAATTGTAATATAGGTGCCCTGACGTATTAGTGAAGCAGCCTTGTATTGTGATCCACAAATCACTTAAGATGCTGATTATTTATTGTTTATTTCTTGCTTAGTATGATCTTTCCTTTCCTTTCCTTTCCTTTCCTTTCCTTTCCTTTCCTTTCCTTTCCTTTCCTTTCCTTTCCTT